CTCACCCAAATTAAACGAAATAACCTAGGGAGTTTCACCCAATATAGCCGAAACTAGTCTTGCTCAAATCAGGCGAGATGCAGCACACTAATAAGGGATGCGTAGTAGTTGAACGGTAATATATGTGTTGCGAAATCGGCAAGTGTACCGTTCGTTTCAAGTAATAAGTTATAAGTAGAGTATCGTCTCCACGAGGACTGAGGCACAAAATTTATTATAACTATTCCTTCCTTGTCGGATAGATAAAATTGGTTTAAAGAACAATTGTTGTTTGTGAAAAACAAGAACAAATTAAGAAAGTAAAAATAGTTTCCAAGATTCTTTTTAAACTCAAGAACAAAAGATTAATGATTGAGAAAATATTTAAGAAAATATTGCAGTAAAGAGAAACAAGCACCTTTATGATCCCCGCCTTGTAACCTGAATTAACGTTTACATTTAATTATGCAATTGATCAAACGATGCACTATCTTTTATTTAATTCGTTAAGCCCTAATTCCTTAATGACTTTAACCTTATTAACTCTATTAAAATCCTAATCCCTTAGAAATCCTTTTTCAAGTTAAGCCTTAGTATCAGTGAATCTTTAACGTTTGCGATTCATGTAGCCTATCCCTAGTGCATACATGAACAATTATCTTGCCTTTTGTCAGGAATTAGAATCACAATATTCCTATTGAAAACCCTAACCCTCGCAATCCTAATAGATTGATCGGTTCTAGAAGAATGATGAAGAACAAGACAAAAGAATCTCAATTGGAATAATTAAATATAAATTTAAGCAAACTACAAGGGTTCACATTAAGGGTTGTGATCCTTACCACAATAAATGAAGACTAGCCAAACATAATCATATCTGACAAATTAAAGAAGGAAAAAGAATTCATAAAAGAATAAACCAGAAGACAAAGAAGATGAAGAAGAAATCTTGAATCTTCAACTTCTCTGAGTGTTAATGCTCAGGCTTCAATCTTCAGAGCTTCCTCTTAATTTTTGTGTTTTGTAATTTTTTTTGGCTAAAAGGATCCCTCTTTTAGGGTTTATGCTTCCTTTTTATATCCAACATTCCCCATCAGGTCATATTCTTCTGAGAGATTTGATTTAATTTCTGTTTTTAGCAACATCCACAAAATCAGGGACTGCACTCGCGACGCCCGCGCGATCAGTGCCAATTCCGCGCGATCAACGTGGTATCCACGCTAGCTGCGTGAAAAGACAGTGAGTTTGGCCATTTATCCTCCTTCTTGGCGCGATTAGCGTGGTGAGGCAGTGATCATGGCACGATCCGCGCCATTCTCACACTGTTTGCGCGAGATGATTGTCTGCAATAGCGGCTTTTTGCATACTTTTCTCCTATAAAAACGTAGAATCATAGTGAGAGTATGCTTGAAGGTGGATTATCAATAATTCCTTAAAAATAATAACTTGTATCCATGAATTGCTGTCAAATCCTTGTTCTTTTTACTCTTAAATATCTATATGCTGAAGGCAGATCAAACAATTCCCAGATTTAGATATTGATGTCCTCAGCAATAAATAAGATCAAACATTAGGCAACAAGGATTATGTCTGTGAGAAGAATTTATGTCACTTATGCACATTTCCACATTGAAGAACTCCAGAGTTATAATATGCCAGGCATGAGTGAATTCAGAGTTGAGAATTTTAAGAATCACTTTTATACAGGGAATTAGAATCTAGCTCAATCATTCCTTACCAAGATATTCACTGCACGCGTCACTCTTGTGTATTGGGTTTAAATCCTAAATCCGTCAGTGCAATAAGACTACCATAGGCTTGATCCTATTCTTAAATTTCTAAAGATGAGGAATGTATAAGACATGCATAATTAGATCCAAAGGTCTTTGCAGGGTTATAACTTAGCTTAGGCTGGGGTAGGAATATTTAGGAAGTGGCTAATTTTTATTGTGTGTGAGATTGAAACACAGATATTTGTTTTCAGGTCGTTCATACTGAGACACAATTTCACTTAGTTTTTTCCTTTCTATTCATACTTTTCCTTTTTCTTGACCTTTTCAAGCTTTTTCATTGCTATGCAAATTTCATTTTGTTCATTTTCTCTTTTGTCCCAAGCTTTTACTTTCACAATCACTTAACTTCCGTTAAATTTTTCCTGAATTTCTACAATCATTGTTTCAATCTTGTTCAAGGTGTGTTAACAGAAAAATAAGTTAAGTGTCTTATGGTTGAATTCAACAAGAACAACAGGCTAAAGCTCAAAGGTGATAGCAATGGAAAACTTTAGGGGTAAGCTATTTGGCCAAGTGGTTAACAAGAACAGAATTGCCTTTATCATTTCAATTTATGCATGCATTACAGAGAAACAGATCAAGTTCTAGAGTATTATCATAGTGAGGTCTCTCTAAAAAAAATTACTGTATAGGCTCAAACCTCACGGCTATGCAATCAAACTAGAATCTAAATTGTCATTTATCATAGCACATCATTTTCAACTCTCAACAAAGAATTCAATCAGGCGAGCAATAATAACTCATATAACTTCAATGCATTATTCAGAACATTTATTCATTATGACTTCTCACACAATATCCTATATGCTCTCTAAGATTTAATCATCTTATTGAATGAGTAGCTCACGAATATCCAGGTATGTTGCTCAGAGAATTTCTTCCATCAAAACAAAAATAACAAAACAAATTGAGACAAGAGGTTCAGATGTCTCTCCTGATTCAGAAATTTTTTTCTGTTAGATGTCTTTTCTGTGTGGTTCCTCTGTATCACATATAGTGCGCCCAATTCCCAGATTTGAAAAATTGTTGTCCCTAGCAATAAAGATAAACTAGTCGAAGAATAAGAACTTCTGCGCAGTCAAAACACATTCACACTGGTTAAAGCATGAATTCAAAATAAACTTAACAGGCAACTAAACTTCATAAAATCTCAATTGTCTCAACATAAAACAGAAATTTTAAAAACATAACCAAAATAACAATAAACTAAAGATAAAAGGTGGTGCATGGTAATCAGTCATCAAGCCACGACTCATCTATATCGTCCCCTCCAGCAGCCTGAGGTGTCTCTGTATGCTCTGCTGCTGGCTCAGAAGGAACTATAGGCTCAATGGGCATGCAAGGAGCTGGTGACGGTGGAAAGTGTGGTTGAAAAGAAGACGTATCCACTCCAGTGATTTGACAGATGCCCTCTAGCATGTGTGTCCAGTAGTCACTCTGTATGCTCAAACGGTCAAGCTGTCCCTGCATGTTCTGGATTTGTCCTTGCATAGTCAGGATAATAGGGGAATCTGCATAAAGATGCTGAGGTGGTGCTGGTCTCTGAGGTGCTGTGGATGTGGTGGCCTGAGATGCTGCAGCAGTTGGAAGGAGGTGCTCCGGATGTGGGCCATAAGGTTTATGAGGCCATATACGTGGGCTCTTCGTATTCAGGGAGGAAGGGGACATCTCTGTAGCTCTAATCATCTGCTTGTTCCGTGCATCTATAAGCATATCTCTGTAAGTAGCAAATGTCAGGGGTGAGACGACCTTCACATCCATAGGCTCCTCTGATGGTATCTGAACTCCAGCTTGGATGCATAAGTGCATAATCAGAGATGATGTGCAAGGAAAAATAGTCATGCTTATCATAAGGATTTTTGGGTAGAACCAACTAGCAACACCACCACTCTTTTAATCAGGAAATAAACACAAAGAAGAGAAATCTCTTACCTTATCGCCAGCCATAGTGATGCAAATGAGTGGTGAAAATAACCCACTTTGAATACCTTTGCTTGATTGAGTACGGTTATGGTGAACTAAGGCTATGAAGGAAAGGGAGAGGTTTGGCTTGGTGGTTCGGTGGTTGTGGAAGGTGTGGGTTATATAGAAGAAAATGGAAGGGGAAATTATAGTGAGGGAAGGAAGTAACAAGGATATGGAGAGGTGATTGAGGCATGGGAAAAGGTAGAGGAAAAAGTGGGGGGGGGGGGGGGAAGGGGAATAGGAAATGATAATGGGGAATGAGGGAAAATGGGGCGTGGGTTGTGGGTTTATCTTGAAGGTGGGAGGTAGGGTTATTTTGAACAGAAATCGCCGGCGTAATTTGCGCCACTACCACGCGAATCGCGCGACTAAACAGTGAGATGTAGAAGGAATCCATGCAGTTTGCGTCAGTCCTACGTGTTTGGCCAAGCTTATTCAATCCACGCTGATCGCGCCAAATTGACGCTACTTGCATGGATAGGAAGTAAGTTCCGGACATATTGACGCTATTGGCACCATGTCCACGCGGTTAGCACCCCATTCACGCTATTAGCGCGAATTGGCAGTGAAGAAGTGGAATGGACTTTTTAGGTGACTCAGTCAGCGCCAAATTAGCGCTATTCGCGCGGTGACTTGAATATGAAATTGCACCATTTATCTTATAACTCTACGACTCTAAAAATTAAAATTACTGACTCAATCTTGGGTTTCCTCCTAAGAAGCGCTCATTTAACGTCACGAGCCTGACGAGAATAATATAAGCTTCAGGTGAAGCCAAAGGGACAGAAATTGTGTCCATATTTACTTGTCCTCCATGGTATAATTTCAATCTACACCCATTGACCTTGAAAGGTCTTTCAGTATTGAGAGGGGAAATCTCAATTGTACCATATGGAAATATCTTCCTAATAACAAAAGGACCTGACCAACGAGACTTGAGCTTACATGGAAACAACCTCAGTCGAGAGTTGTATAGTAATACCTGTTGTCCTGGCTCAAACTCTTTTGGTTGGATTTCTTGTCATGCCACTTCTTTGTCTTCTCTTTGTAAATCCTGGCATTCTCATAGGCTGCCAACCTGAACTCATCCAGCTCATTTAATTGCAGTAATCTTTTATCATTAGCTTTTGATGGTTCAAAATTCAAAAATTTAGTAGCCCACAAAGCTTTATGTTATAATTCTACAGGAAGATGACAAAACTTACCTTACACCAGTTGGAATGGTGACATACCTATTGGTGTTTTGAAAGCGGTCCTGTATGCCTAGAGTGCATCATCAAGTTTCTTTTCCCTATCTTTCCTTGAATTTCCTACCTCCAAAATCCTCTTCAGCTCTTTATTTGAAATTTCTACTTGTCCACTGGTCTGAGGATGGTATGGGGTAGCCACCTTGTGAGTGATGCCATACTTTGTAAGCAAGCTTTCAAATTGTTTATTGCAGAAGTGAGTGCCACCATCACTGATGATCGCACGAGGAACTGCAAAACAAGTGAAAATGTTCTTCCGCAAGAAAGACACCACCACTTTTGCATCATTAGTAGGTAAAGTGGCAGCTTCTACCCACTTGGACATGTAGTCCACAACAACCAAGATGTATTGGTTAGAATATGACATAGGGAAGGGTCCCATAAAGTCAATTCCCAAAACATCAAACAACTCCACCTCTAATATAAAGTTGAGGGGAATCTCATCTTTACGGGATATGTTTCCCGTCCTCTGGCACTTGTCACATTTCTCTAAGAACTCTCTTGCATCCTTGAAGATTGTGGGCCAATAATATCCACTTTACAACACCTTCTGTGCAGTCCTGTTGGCTCCAAAATGTCCTCCGTAGTCAGATGCATGGCAGTGCCACAGAAGATCTGGTACTTCAAATTCAACAACACACCTACGAATAACACCATCAGCACATTGAAAATAAAGAAAAGGGTTATCCTAGTGATACTTCCTTGCATCATGAAGGAATTTCTGTTTCTGCTGCCAAGTAAGATCATCAGGCATTAATCCAACAGCTTTGTAGTTTGCAAAGTTCACAAACCATGGACTCATAATAACCGCATCACTTGCTCATCAGGAAAGGACTCATTAACCTCTATTTTAGGTCCTTCTTGCAAGTCCTTATCTTGAATCCTAGACAAGTGATCGACAACTTTATTTTCCACTCTAGCTTTGTCTCTGATTTCCAAGTCAAACTCCTAGAATAGGAGCATCCAACGCAACAAACATGGCTTTGCATCCTGCTTGGTCATCAAATACTTAAGAGCAGCATGGTCAGTAAATACGATTACTTTAGAACCTATCAAATAAGGCCTAAACTTATCTAATGCATAAACTACTGCTAACATCTCTTTTTCAGTGGTGGCATAATTGACTTGTGCCTCATTAAAAACCTTGCTAGCATAGTAAATAACATGCAATAATTTATTCTTACGCTGACCAAGTACAACACCCATTGCATATGCGCTCGCATCACACATGAGTTCAAAAGGGAGACTCCAATCCAGAGCCGTCAGAACAAGCGTTGTGGTAAGCTTTTCCTTTAGCACATTGAATGCATTGAGGCAGGCTTCATAAAAAAGGAACTCATTTTCCTTCACTAACAGTTGGCTAAGAGGCTTTGCAATCTTTGAGAAATCCTTAACGAATCTCCGATAAAAACCTGCATGGCCTAAGAAACTTTGCACACCATTAGCATTAACGGGAGGGGAAAGTTTTCAATTAACATTAACTTAGCCTTATCAACTTCAATTCCTTTTTCAGAGATTTTATGGTCTAACACTATACCATCTCACACCATAAACTGGCAGTTTTCCCAGTTTAAAACCAAATTGGTGTCCTGACATCTTTTCAAAACTTTAGCTAAATTAACTAAGCATGAATCAAAACAAGAACCAAAAATAGAAAAATCATCCTTAAATACCTCTAAACATTTTTCTACCATATCAGAGAAAATAGAAAACATACAGCTTTGAAATGTCGCAGGCGCGTTACAGAGGCCGAATGACATCCTTCTGTAGGCAAAAACTCCAAATGGGCATGTGAAAGCCGTCTTCTCCTAATCCTTTGGTGCTACTGGGATTTGGTTATAGCCGGAATAACCATCCAAGAAACAATAAAAGGCATGTCCGGCTAACTTTTTCAGCATCTGATCAATGAAAGAAAGGGGAGAATGATCCTTAATTTCTTGTAGCATCGTTCAGTCTTCTGTAGTCCACATACATCCTCCAACCAGTGATAGTTCTTGTGGGGATTAACTCATTCTGCTCATTTTTCACAATAGTAACTCCTCATTTCTTTGGAACTGTCTGTACTGGACTTACCAATGCAGGGTCAGAAATTGGATAAATCATTCTAGCATCCATGAGCTTCACCACTTCTTTGCGGACTACTTCCTTCATTGTGGGGTTTAGTCTTCTCTGAGGCTGTCTCACAGGTTTAACATTGTCTTCCATCAGAATCTTGTGAGTAAAGAAAAAAGGATTGATACCCTTCAAATCAGAAATAGACCAACCAATAGTTGTCTTGTGCTCCTTAGTACTTTCAACAGCTTATTCTCTTCATCCGTAGACAACTCCTTATTGATGATGATATGGTATTACTCTTCATCTCCCAAGAAGGCATACTTAAGAGTTTCAGGTAACTCTTTCAATTCTGTTTTTGGTACTATTGTAACTAAGTCATTTTCTTTCTTTTCTAGCACCTTAAAAACAACTTCTAGCTCTTCTTGTGGAGTGGCTTCATCTTGAGCCTTCAGCTCTTCCTCGAACTCTTGATCATCAATGTTCTCTTCCTTGACCACCTCTTCCAATACATCAAGTCTGAAACAATCACTTTGGTCAGATGAATTCTTCATAGCATCAAAAACATTGATAGTGATTGTCTCATCATTCATCCTCAATTCGATCTTTCGTTGTTCTACATCAATCATAGCTCGAGCTGTAGCCAAGAACGGTCTACCCAACAGAAGGGGTATTTCACTCTCCTCCTCCATGTCCAACACAAAGAAATCGGCAGGAAAAATAACCTTGTCAACTTTAACAAGGACATCCTCGATGACTCCATTAGGTCGTTTCAAGGAATGGTCAGCAAGCTGTAGAGAGACCATAGTTGGCTTCAATTCAGTAATTCCTAATGACTTACACACCGATAGCGACATCAGGTTGATGCTTGCTCCAAGATCACAGAGTGTCCGACCAATATTAGTGTTGCCTATCGCAATTGGGATGTTGAAACTCCCAGGATCTCGAAGCTTTTGTGGGAACTTTTTCTGTATAATGGCACTGCACGCCTCAGTAAGTGCTACTGTCTCACAATCCTGTAACATATGCTTTCTAGACAACAAATCTTTCATAAATTTAGCATAGTTAGGCATGTTTGCTAAAGCCTCAGCAAAAGGAATATTAATATGCAACTTTTTAAACATATCTAAAAACCTGGTATATTGTTGCTTCTGTGCATATTGCTTGAGCTTCACAGGGTAAGGAGGTTTCTCAAAACGAGAATAATCAGTCATCTTCTTCGGAGTTCCAGCAGGTTGCTCCTTTTCCTCACCTTTTTGCTCTGGCTCTTCAATGCTTGCAGGATCTTCCACTTCTTTTTCTGGTTCCTCATTGATCTTTTCCTTCACCGCCTTGGGTTTCTCTTGAGGTGTGACCATAATACCACTCCTAGTTATAATGGATTTGCAGTGCTCCTTCGGATTCACAATGGTATCACTCGAAAACTGCCCCTGAGTTCTTTCAGCTAGCTTCCTAGACAATTGGCCTATCTGATTCTCCAAGTTTCGGATGGAAGCATATTGGTTCTTATGGTAGGCTCTTGTCTCATTCATAAAAGCATCAGTAGTCTGGATATGATCATTGGTAGTCTTAGAAAGTTGCAACATTGATTTTTCCAATTCAGATGGCTCCTTATGTGGAAGAGGATGAGGTTGTATGTAATTATTGGATTTGTAATCCAAACCTTCCCCTTGAATTCTCCTTTTAAAAGTTCCTTCCTTGAGCACTATTATGATTCCT